ATCACCTTTTAGCTAAATAACAGATTGGTTCATAATATAAAGAATATCATCCGTGAGTACTGCCGACCTTAAAAAAAATCATCTATATGAGCCCAAAGAGTCAACAATTACTCTAAAGCAAAGATGGAAATGGTATATCTGGAACAGAATTAATGAGAATGTATACACATTGTGAAAAATGTAACCATGTCACTCAACAATTTGTGTAGTAATTGTTAAATGGGAACCTAATTTGCTGTGTAAACTTTCACAGAAAACACAATAAAATATCATTGAAAAAAAAAGGAAATAAATGAGAAAATTTTAGGTAGAGAGTTCTTAGACAGGACACCAAAAGTATGATCCATAAAAGCAAAAAATGGGTAGACTGAACTTCCTCAAAACTAAAAACTTCTGTGCTTCAAAAGATACCACAACATCCAATTATGGTGAGAATGTGGAGCAACAGGAACTCTCATTCAATGCTAGCAGGAGTGCAAAATAGTACAATCACTTTAAAAGCCAGTCTGGGAGCGTCTTACAAAGCTAAACACAGGCTTACTATATGACCCAGCAATCTTGTTCCTAGATATTTACCCAAATGAACTGAAAACTATTTTCACACAAAAAACTGCACACAAGTGTTTGTAGAACTTTTATTCATAACTGTGAAAAATTGGAAGCAATCAAAATGTCCTTCAATACATGAATAGATAACAAAAAGTGGTGCATCCATACAACGGAGTACTATAAAACTGTTGCCGTCAGTCAATTCCAACTCATAGCGACCCTACAGCACTGAGTTGAACTGCCGCATACGGTTTCCAAGGCCATAACCTTTACTGAAGCAGAATGCCACATCCTTCTCCTAAGAAGAAACTGGCGGGTTCCAACCACAGATCTCTCGGTTGGCAGCTGAGTGTTTAATCACTGCGCCACCAGCGCTCCTTAATGGAGTATTAACCAAACCAAACCCAAACCCATTGCTGTGAACTTGATTCCAACTCATAGAGACCCTGTAGGTCAGAGTAGAATTGCCCCATAGGGTTTCCAAGGCTGTAAATCTACAGAAGCAAACTGCCACATCTTTCTCCCGTGGGTTCGAACTGCTGATCTTTTGGTTAGCAGATAAGCTCTTAACCACTGCACCACAAATGAGCTATCGAGCCATGAAAAGCCTTGGAGAAATCTTAAATGCAAACTGCTAACTTAAAGAATAAGCTGTATACTGTATAATTCCAACTATGTGACATTCTGGAAAAGGCAAAACTATACAGAGACAGTAAAAAGATCAGTGATTGCCAGGATTCAGCAGGAGGGAGGAATGGATTAATGGGTGAAGCACGGGACATTTTACAGGCAATGAAACTCTTCTGCATAATACCTTAAGGATGGATACATGACATTATACATTTGTCAAAACCCTTAGAACTATACAACACAAACAGTAAACCCTCATGTAAACTATGTTTTTTCATGAACTTCATTTGATAACAATGTAACATTTTTGGTTTAATTGTAACAAATGCACCATAATGTAAAATGTTAATAATAGGAGAAACATGTGCATGGAGGAAAACGGGATATATGGGAACTCTCTCTACTTTCTGAGCAATTTTTCTGTAAACCTAAAACTACTCTAAAAAAAATACACTGTTTCAAAAAAAAAACCCGTTAAGAAAATGAAAAGTCAAGCTACAGCCTAAGAGAAATTATTTGCAAATCATGTATTTGATAATGGACTTGTATCTAGAATATACAAAGAACTCTCAGAATGTAATAATTAGAAGACAAACAACCTAACCAAAAAATGGGCAAAAGATTTGAAAAGACATCTAAAAGATGATGTAGGAATGGCCAATAAGCACATGAAAATATGTTCACCCTCAATAGCCAACATGGAAATGCAAATTCAAACCACAATGATATACCGCTTTATATCCACTATAAAGACTATAATAAATGATAACAATGAAAGATACAATAAGATAATAAAAAAGACACAATAACAAGTGTTGGCAAGGATGTGGAGAAATTGGAACCTTCATACATTGCTGATAAAAAAGGAAAAAAAAAACAAACTCATTCTCGTCCAGTCAATTCTGACTCATAGAGACTCTACAGGACAGAGTAGAACTGCCCCATACGGTTTCCAAGGCCACAGTGTTTACAGAAGCAGTCTGCCACATCTTTCTCCCACAGAGTGGCTGGTGGGTGCGAACCACCAACCTTTCGGTTAGCAGCCAAGCACTTTAACCACTGCACCACCAGGGCTCCTTAAACTTACTATACAACTCAGCAATCCCACTCGTGGGTATATATACAAGAAAAATAAAAATATATGTCCAAATGAAGAGTTGCACACAAGAGTTCACAACAGCATTATTTGTAATAGTCAAAAAGTATAAACAACCCAAATGCCCATCAACTGATGAACCGATAAAGAGAATGTGATAAATTCATACAATGGGATACTACTCAGCAATAAACAAGAACAAACTACTGATACATGTTACAATATGGATGAATCTCAAAAATATTATAGGAAGTGAGAGAAGCCAGACACAAGAAACCACATATTATATGATTCCATTTACATGAACTGTCCAGCAAAGGCTAATCTACACAGAGAGAAGGAAGACCAGTTGTTGTCTGGGGGTGGGGTGCGAGCTGGGATTGATTACAAACTTGCATGGGTTAACTTGTTGGGGTGATAACAAACGTAAAACTGAATTGTAGTGATCACTGTACAATTCCATAAATTGAACGGAGTAAAAATGACTTAATTGTTTAGAAGCGGTAATATATTGTTTCAAAAAAGGTGATTTCCATATGAACTCTGCCTTCTCATAACTAGAGAAAGGTATCATCAAGGAAGATTATAGATTCTTCTATATTAGAAACCTTAACAGGGAACTGATTTCTACATGCCCAGCAGAATTTAGGGAGCACCTCAGAGAATGGACCAACTTTGTAAGGTCCCTTCCCAATCGTCCAAAAAAAAAAAAAAATTGATAGTGGATAAAAAATAAAACACTTAAGATTTTCATTGTTACTAACTTCTCTGATAAATTTATAAATTTTTCCTTCTCCACTTAGTGTATGTTTATTAAAAAACACTGAAAATTCAATCTATTTTTCCTATAGGTTTTTTTTTTCATATTAACAAGTCAGTCATTCAAGAAAAGAACAAAGAACATACATAACCCAGCCTAAAATACAATTTTAAAAATCCATTTGGTGCTGATTTCCAGCCTGATTTGAGGCATTACCACTACCAACTTGGAACCACCACACATGAGATTTCTTTGGCTCTCTCTGCAGCCTAAATAATCAATCCAACTTTCTACTGGCCAGGCTGGCCTCCCTGGAGCTGGTTTTCATAAATACAAATTTGTATAATCGTTACTGGAACTACTTGCTGAAATATGGAATTGGTTAAAAATACCATGTATTAAAAAATGTACATGCACAGTTTCACATACAAGCAGCAACACATCTTTCACATTTACTCAATCAATCATGTTAATTGCTTTTTATTAGAGGCAAGAACAAAAAACATCATTTCAGAGTTTGCCTTTCTTTTCTGGGGCCTCGGCAAAAGTTTTTCAGGAAATCAACGAGAAAATGACTGAATAAAGAAAGAATTAAAAGGTACAATGTGCCAAACTATCAAATTAATCCAAGTCTAATAAAGCATATCTAACATTTACTTTAGAAGGGGGAGGGCTTTGATATTAACTAGGGAAAGCGAATTCTTATTCGATGCAGCCTTTCTTGTACCTAATCCATGAGTGCTTATTTCCATGTGAAGCTGTACATTACACTGAAACATCAATTTGATTTAAGTTTCATGGACAAAGTCACAATGAACATATTTCTCATCTAAGCTTATGTAATAAATGATCCCAAGACATGGTATGAATTCTATCATTAGTTAACAACTTTTCCAGTCCCTTGAGGAACTGATGAGGAATGAGAAAATGCTGAGCTGCCTATCACTGAAGGTGAGTGACATCCCTAAATACCTAAAGCTGGGTGGCCCAAAAGTGCTCTGCTCATTTGATAAATAGTAAGTCAGTCACATCACAGTTAAGATACATTAAATCGGGTACAGGTTAGAATAAAACCAGGGCCCACGAGCTTTCCAGCAGTTTCAGACTAGGACAAAAGCCCAGGCTACTGCTGGGAAATTCTTCGGCCTCTTTACTTAAGATTCTTTTCTCAAGCTTCTCATGTTGTAAAAACTCCAAATCTTTTTCTCCCTGCAGAGCTCAAGCCCATACAACACGATCAGAGAAGGTTGGTAATTACAAACGCGCCCAATCAAAAAATACAAAACAACCCAACACACAACCACCACCCAAAAAAATCTCCCTCATGGGCAATCAGCGCGCTCTGGCCCAGCGTTCAAATAAAGTTGTAGGGAGACAATTGCCTTCAGAGTCCTCCTCCCTGCAGGGATGGAAGTCCTGGAGGGTGGAGGGGAACGGCCTCGCCCCCTCCCACCGCCTAGGCGGCGGGGAGCCGAGACAACGCGGCCCGCTTTAGAGGAGGATGGGTTAAAAGAAGCGAGCTTTTCACAGCTCGCAAGGACCCGAGGCAATGAACGTCACCTTTGCTCTTCTCGTTTTAAGAAGACCTAGCTGTCTACGCTCAATGAACAAAAAGAACCAAAACGCCAACTCCCGACTCCCACCGCTCTGGTGGTTTCCTTCTGCGTAACCCCCTGGCCGGCTCCACCCCCTGGGACCGCCCGGGCCGGTGACCACGCCCCTCAGTAGGAGCTCCTCCCATACGTCGCAGCCCCTCTGCGGTCTGGCGCCATTCCACACCGTTTCCCTCATCTCCTCAACCCCTCCACACGGCGGGAATCCTGCTCACCCACTTCGAGGCCGGGGGCGCGGCGGACGTTCTCGCGAGCCTTCCCTCCACTCTATCCCTTCCCTCCCCGAGGCTGACGTATCGGCCAGACCCCCGAGGGAAGCAGCCCCTAGCTTTCATTCTGCGGCTTCTCTTACCGGGTGGTCCTCGCCAGAGCTGCTTCAGCACTGTGGGCATTGGCGGAAAGCAGGCCACCGCCCGAATTGTGTGGCTTGAAAACGTGGCTTTGCCTCGTATTGGGTTGTATTTTTTTTTGTTGTTTTTTTGGAATTTTCCCGCGGCGCCTCCGCAGTGGAGCAGCGCGCGCGCGCACGTCCCCGCAGTGCACTCTGGGGCCTGGCGAGGCGCCCTGCGCGCTCCCGTGGCTTCGCGGGAAAATTCCGACCACTCTCGGCACTTTGGGGCGGGGCGGGACGAGGCGGTGGCGCTGCACAGGCTCGAAGCGGAAGCAAGTCCCGGCCTGGAGTGAACTCGAGAGACGACGTGGAACCGGCTGCTGCCTCAGTTTTCCCCGGGACCCGTGAAAAAGTAGTAAGGAGGGGCCAGGGCATGAAAAGCTCGGGGTTTTTATTTAATCCATTGTTGATGAAATAAAGATCCTGTGTTCGAAATGCAGAGAAGGTAAAATAGAAATTAGTATTTTAAAGAAAAATTGCGGGTTTGTCAAGGGTAGGGGGTAAAACGGGCGTAGGATATAATTTTCCGTGATCCAAAAAATGACGTCTTTCATCAGTTAATGATCCCCCCATCCCGCCCTCAAATCAGTTCCATACAGTGCTTGATTCGGGTTCAAATCCATTCAAAGCTGTTCTTAAACCACTTAAATAAATGGAAAGCAGCATTTCTATAAACTTCCATCAATGTCAGTGGTATTAACTTCTCTTGGTGGGTTTTCTTCTATTCCTGAACTTAGTAAAGCATAGAGGTTTTTTTTTATTAATGTTTAAATTGTTTAAAAAATATATGAGGAACCTAGCCTTAAACTTCTTAAATTTTTTAAATCAGTGCCTCATTATTATAAAACTACAATTCACGTGTGATTTCAAAAAACTTACTACAAAGTAGTGTATGCATGTAATAAAAATAGCTCTCAGTTATTTAAACACTTCCAATTCCATGATGAAAGAATGCCCATTTTATAGAACAATAAACTGGATTCAGAGATCAAGTAACTTGCTAATGTTACACAGCTTGTAAGTGATACGGTTAGTATGTGGTGGTGGCAGCAACAATTTTTTAAAAATTAAAGGGAGATGATAAAAGTCAATCCAGAACTTGAGACAAAATTAGCAGAATCGACTCTGTATTCACAAGTCAGGCATTTAAATCTGCTCTTGAGAAATATCGCCTGCCAGTTAAAACCATCTATGCTTTTTAGATGCCCATGTATTTAAATGTAGGTAAACCCCAGCAAAGCCTGTGTAGAAATACATACTTGTGTAATACTTATCATGGCACTTTGGCCGTAAGAAGAAAGTCATTGTGTTTGTAGTGACAAATCGAGCATGTCAGTGTTTAAGCCCTGCATTTACCAGCAAAGGAAGCAACTAAACGATGTGTTTATTTAGAGAAAACATCTATTTCCACGCTCAGGTTCTTTTACATATTAGCTGAAAAATAATTTCTGATGCTTGTAGTGTTAATGATTGTGGTTTTGCCGTACCGCAGTTTTATAGCTTTTTAATTCAGTAGTGAATAAAGAGTTGCTAGGGTCATCTAACTTTACAATACATGAAAGAACACCCTGTTTAGGCCTAAATAGATAGCACCTATAGTATAAAGAGCCAAATACAATTTTACGCAAATTTATAGACATTTTCTCTGGCATCCACATTTATGGAGCTATCCTTACTGATAAATCCTACAATCAATCAACTTGATCTCATAGACATATACTGAACACTCCACCCAACGGCAGCCAAGTATACTTTCTTTTCTAATGTACATGAAACATTCTCCAGAATAGATCACATATTAGACCACAAAGCAAGCCTTAACAGAATCCAAAGCATTGAAATATTACAAAACATCTTTTCTGACCATAAAGCCATAAACATTGTCTTAGGCTGGGCTCTCTTGAGGAGCAAAACCAGTAAAGTGTATAAATATATATGGAGAGAGATTTATATCAAGAAAACAGCTCACACAATTGTAGAGGCTAGAACCTCCCAAGCCCATGGATCAGGGTAGAGACCTCTCCCGATTCATGCAGTCACAGAAGCTGGCGAACCCAAGGTCGGCAGGTCAGAGAGCAGGACTTCTGCTCAGAGGCTGTGAAGATCGATGAATCCCAGGTTCGGCAGATAAGCTGACAGCTCAAGTCCCAAGAACTGGAGATGAGATTACAGGAGGCAGCTGGAAAATCCAGAGTGAGCAAAAAGCCAGAACATCTGCTTATATTCAGATGCAGACCACACCCCCAAGGAAACTCCCTTTCATCTTATTGACTACTCACAGCATATTCAATCCTGGGAGTGACCACATATAAACACTGAGAATCATGGCCCAGCGAAGTTGACACACAATCTTAACCATCACAAACACAGAAAACAAAAACAGAAAAAGCAAGGAAAAATATACATGGAAATTGAACCACACCTTCCTCAAAAACTACTGGGTTATAGAACAAATCAAGGATGGAATAAAGAAATTCACAGAATCAAGTGAGAATGAAAACACATTCTACCAGAACCTTTGGGACACAGCAAAAGCATTGCTGAGAAGTCAATTTATAACAATAAATGCACACATCCAAAAAGATTATAGGGCCAAAATGAAAATATTAACCCTACAACTTGAATAGAAAGAGAGCAGCAAAAGAAGCCCAAAGGCACCAGAAGAAAGGAAATAATAAAATTTAGAGCAGAAATAAATGAAAGAGGGAATAGAAAAACAGTTGAAAGAGTTAACAAGACGAAAAGCTTCTTCTTTGAAAGCATCAACGAAATTGGTAAACCATTGACCAAACTGACAAAAGACATATGGGAGAGGAAACAAATAACCCGAATAAGAAATGAGATGAGCGATATCACAACAGTCCTAACTGAAGTTACAAGACTCATAACAGAATACTCTGAAAAATTGTACCCCAACAAATTTGAAAACCTAGAAGAAATGGACGAATTTCTGGAAACACGCTACCTACCTAAACTAAAATAAACAGAGGTAGAACAACTAAATAAAACTATTACAAAAGAAGAAATTGAAAAGGTAATTTAAAAGCACCCAACAAAAAAAAGCCATGGCCCTGGCGGCTTCACTGGAGAATTCTACCAAACTTTCAGAGAAGAGTTAACACCCCTACTAATAAAGATATTTCAGAGCATAGGAAAGGATGGAATACTCCCGAACTCATTCTATGAAGCCAGCATAACCCTGATACCAAAACCAGGTAAAAATGCCACAAAAAAGGAAAATTACAGTGGTTCCGGAAAAATGGCGCTCTAGGCAGAAGCACCACGCCGACCCTCCACAGAAAAGATTCGAAAAACTAAGCCGAATAGATAATACAACAATCCTGAAACCCTAAAACATCAAATAAAGAGATAACTCAGCCAAGCACCAAATGGAGTGAGAAAACTGACAGAGAACAGGCAAGGAGAGATTCATGCACAGTTCCCCTACCAGCTAACACAGCGTGGATCCCCCATCTTGGACTTCTGTTGGAGAGCAGCAAACGGGGTATGAGAAAGCAGCCTCACGGAGCTTCCAGCGGGAGACAAAACAACCGGTAATCGGTGATATATGCTTTCCCACCCCCCACCCTTCTTCACCCC